GCAGCAATCAATGGACGTGAAGAGTGTAGGCAAATCACAAATGCATGATGCTGTTTAGTTTCTACTCCCTCCGTTCGGAATTACTTGTCGCGAAAATAGATGTATCTAGATGTATTTTAGTTCTATATACATCTATTTTCGAGACAAGTAATTCCGAACAGAGGAAGTAGCTTGCTCCGCTGTGGGCCTGGGTATTTTGTGGGTCGACTGTCTTTTCTCTCTTTCTTTTTTTTGAAAGGAACGCATAGCATTCCATTACATTACAGAACTGGACACATCGCCAGCCACAACGTTATTTACAAAATCTGGGACCTGCTCAAGCCAAGCTTTACATAAGCTAGCTCCTAGTTTAGCTCCGTAAGTAGCTAGCTTGTGCACCACTACATTACAAGATCGAGGGCAAGACACCACACATACATCATTGAAACCTACGTACAATTGAGCCTTAATATCTCTGAATATAGCACCTAATGCTGACAAGTCGAAGTCTTCAGTGGTTGTTGCATTCTTCAGTTGTATGGAATCAGTTTCAATTATTACTTTATCACAACCTAGCTGAATGGTTGTGTTTATGGCATAAAGCATCGCCAACGCCTCGGAATGAAGTGCATCAGAGACTCGCTCTAGATTGCCTGCACCTGCAGCCATCACCTCACCACAATCATCTCTAATAACAAAGCCCCAGCCTCCAGTATTTGTCTCCTTCAAGAAGGCACCATCTGTGTTGATTTTCAGAGTTCCCGGTGGAGGCCTGGACCATCTTCCATCTTGCTGTTGTTTTTGCATTTTTTCATTCTGTTTCACCTTGCATAGATGCATAAAAAGATAATCAATAGAGTGCAATATTTCATCAGAGGATTTAATAGCATCTTCTGCATTAGCCCTATTCCTTTCATGCCACCACCGCCAAAGTAGCAGGCAAGATTTGATTTTTTCATCATCATTGAGATTTAGAATTTCCTCCATACAACTCAATGCATCTACACAAGATATAATCCGCAGTCTAACGTGCTCCAGCTGGGCTTTCCTCCATACTTCCTTAACCTTTTTACATTTAATAAAGCAGTGACCGCCATCCTCATCCAACTGAAAGCAAACAGGACAGAGAGTATCTACTTGCATACCTCTGTGTCGTAGCTTCATGCGCAGGGGTAAGCTGTCCGTAGATAAGCGCCACAGAAAGTGAAGAACCTTGTTTGGGAGGGGAAGCAACCACAACTTCTGCCAGTTCAGACCTCCTCCTTCTTCATCTGCACTTGAGGAAGAAGTTAGTCCTGTATTTGATTCCGGGTTGCACTGTCCACAGCCACTCTGTATGCAGATTTTACCGAAAAAAATTACCTTTTTTTTATCAAAATGCCATGCTATAATATCGTCGTTATGTTCATGAATTGAGAGCTGTAGGATAATCTTTGCATCTTCAGGAAGGAAGGTTTGCCTTACTAGATCCTCATCCCAATTGTTTGTGGTGGGATCAATCAGCTCATTAACTTTGGTAATAGCATTTCTACCCATTTGAGTGATGACTCTTCTAGTACTTCCTCTCGGAATCCATGGATCAGACCAGATATTAATGTTGTTACCGCTACCAACTCTCCATATAATCCCCTTCTTTAGCAAGTTTATCCCTTTTAATATACTGCGCCATGTGTAGGAGATACCACCCTTGGGACTGGCATTTAGAATCGAGTCATTTGGGTAGTACCTTGCAGACAAAACCTGCGCCCATAATGAGTTTGGATTTTGAATAAGCCTCCAAGCTTATCTCGCAAGCATGGCTATATTGAAAGCATGGAGGTCCCTGAATCCTGGACCCCCGGTCTTCTTTGTCTTCGTCAGTTTTTCCCAGCTGACCCAGTGTGTTTTATTCTCCTTATCTATTTGACTCCACCAATATTTATTGATCATGGAGCTTAGCTCGTCGCACAAGGACTTGGTTAGATCATAGCAAGCCATGGAATACACCGGGATTGCTTGTGCTACTGCTTTAATAAGGATTTCTTTCCCACCTTTTGAAAGGAGTTTTTCCTTCCAGCCTTGGATCTTTTTCCACACTCTCTATTTCATATATTCAAAGCATCTCGCTCTGGCTTTACCCACGTAGGATGGAACACCTAGATATTTCGAGGTTAAACCTTTCGACTTAATCTGTAGAATACTTCTCATTTCCTTCTTCATCTCTTGACTTGTGTTTGTGCTGAATAATATTGAGGACTTGTCTTTGTTAATCATTTGGCCTGAAGCAGTTTCATAGGAGTTCAATATTTTGTTAACTTCATGGGCACTCTCAGCTTTAGCCTCCATGAGTAGCAATGAGTCATCTGCAAACAACAAGTGACTTACACTGGGCGCTTCTCTACAGATCTTAATCCCCCTCAGTGACCCCCTCATCTCAGCTTCATGTAACATGGCAGATAACCCCTCTGCGCATATGAGGAACAAGTATGGAGAGAGTGGATCTCCTTGGCGCAAGCCTCTTTGAGGTGTAATTATTTCAGTTGTGTCGTGATTCACCTTGATCTGGTACTTAACAATTGAGACACAACGCATTATCAGTTCAATCCAACACCGCTTAAAGCCTAGCCGTTGCATCATATCTTTTAAAAATGTCCATTCAACACGATCATAGGCTTTGCTCATATCCAATTTGACAGCTGCATAGCCCATCAAGCCGCTTCTTCTCCTCTGCAGGAAATGAGTTAGCTCATATGCCAAAAGAATATTATCCGAAATTAGCCTCCCTGGCACGAAGGCGCTCTGGTTAGGGGAGATGATGTCGGGAATAATTACCTTAAGCCTGTTTGTGATTACCTTGGAGACCAGCTTATACACCACATTACACAAACTGATTGGTCTCAAATCCTTTATGCTTGCTGGGTTGGCATTCTTCGGAATTAATACTATTAGCGTATCATTCCACCCTTCAGGCATTTCTCCTCCTCTCAATATTTGAAGAACCTCCTTTGTGACCTGGTTCCCAACAATTTGCCAAAATCTTTTAAAGAATATGGCTGGCATACCATCAGGTCCTGGTGCTTTCAGGTCACCTATGTTGTCTAAGGCCCGTTTCACCTCCTCCTCTGTATACTCAGCACACAGTATATCATTCATCTCTTTTGTCACCCTTGGTTGAACCACGTGTAGAATTTCTTCATTATCCTTTCCAGCCATGGAAGAGAAGATGTTAAAAAAGTAATTTGCAATGTGCTCTTTCAAAGGTTCCTCCCCCTCCACCCAAGTGTTGTCCTCCCTTTTCAGCCTCTTGATGGTGTTCCTTTTCCTCCTTTCAGATGCAAAGGCGTGAAAAAATGATGTGTTCTTATCCCCATCATGTAACCATTTGACATGGGCCCGTTGTTTCCAGTGCGTATCTTTTTGGTGCTCCAATCTGTCCAACTTCTCCCTCAAAAAGTGCTCTCTGTTAACCCTTTCTTGGGTAATGTCTCCTCTTCGCACCTCTTCTAGCTCCTTTTTTAACATTTTGATTCTTTTCTCCAGATCACCTAAAACATTAGTCTCCCAGTCCTTTAGATCTCCTGCTACCTTACTCAACATCGCCTGGGTATTTTGCTCTCCCCGTAGGCCAGCATTGGACCAGGCATTGTTGACCACCTTTTCACAATCATCCTCCTGCAACCACCTAGCTTCAAACCTGAAACTATGAGCCCTTCTTTTATAAGAAAATACTCTCCCAGCTTACCCTATTTGGATAGTTATAGGCCTGTGGTCTGAGTGGTGTGGGTCTCCATTTAGGACTCTGAAGTTAGGAAATCTTGCACACCAACTTCTCGACCCCACAGCTCTATCCAGTCTTTCTTTAACAAACCGGCTAGCATCCCAACTATGGTTACGCCACGTATATTTATCCCCCACATAGCCCAAATCTCTCAACCCACAACTTGCTAGGGCTGCTCTAAAATTTTCCATTTGGCTTTGAGCTCTGGCTGGCCCCCCTCTCTTCTCATGGTTATACATGATCTCATTAAAGTCGCCCGCACACAACCATGGAAGGTTCAGCTGCTGACTTATTACGCGAAGTAATTTCCAAGTTATATTCCTTTTATCATTCGCTGGCTCTCCATAAATACCTGTAAATCGCCATTTAAACCCATCCTTTTCCACTATTTTTGCATCAATATGATTCTTAGAATAGTTGAGCAGCTCCAAATTTACTTCTTTTTTCCAAAACAATGCCAATCCCCCACTCTTCCCCTCGCAATCTCTCACTATCATGTTTCCCATCTGTAACATCCACTTAAACTTTTCCATCCTCCTCTTATCCAATTTGGTCTCAGATAAGAAGAGGATGTCGGGGTCCACCTGCTTCTGAAGATCCAGAAGTCCTCTCACCGCCGGGCCATTCCGCAATCCCCGGCAGTTCCATACTACAATTCTCATTTTGGCTCGCCAGGCTGTCCCTGCAGCCCGGCGTTTGCAGTTTCAGAGTTGTTCTCCTCTTTTTCTTCACCCTCCTCGACTTCCATCTTTGCTTTCTTTGCTAGTTCTATATCTTCATCAATTTCCATCATAATTACCTGTCTCTTCTTCTATTCTGTCGTACTTAATTGGTTCTGCTGGTTTCTTTCCTTCCTCTCAATTCGCTTGAAAGTACCTCTCTTTATGCCTTTTCCTGACTCCATAAATATATTTCCTTCTTTGTTCTGGGACTCTTCCTTGTTCTGCTCCAAAATAACCTTTGTTGACCCTTGGATATCATGTATTACTTTTGTGATAGTGTCATTCATCTCTTCAGCCTTACTTGGTTCTCTTTCCATTCTTTGTACCTTTTCAGTGGGGTCTTGTATCACTATTCCGCCGCGATCCAGTCTTTTCTCCTCCCCTACTACCTGGTTCTCACACTGTTTTAATTTGAGAGGACTTGTAACTTCATTCCCATCACTCCTTGGTCCTCCCTCATCATCTTCGCTTGGTACATCTCTTCGCCAGAACAGCCCATCGCTTCCCTGTTTGCTCCCCTTGTTACCTGTACTATTGCGTGGCTAGAATTTTCCTTTATTATTTGGAGCCCTACTTCTTTCTTCGCTTGAGATCCCCTTGTACATATTTGCACGCAGCCATGATCCAAATTGCCTAGACCCCGTTCTTCTAGATCTAGTTCGGCACGATTTTTCAGTATGTCCAATAATTCCACAACTATAACAGAAGTCGGGAAGATACTCGTATGTGAATGAGACAATCTTTTCCTCCCCTTCTTTCTTCTCATTTCTTATTTCTTTCATTTCATCATCTCCCAAAAGAATCATTTCATCTTTCTGTTCTTGTTCTACCTCATCTTCAGTGAACGTTGTTATAAATCTCATAATTGGGATAGTGATATCTAATTTAACTTTGATCCGCATAAATGCCCCCATTGAATCACCATTAACATCTGGGTCTACATCAATAACTTCTCCAATTTGTTCTCCTACTAAGTCTCCTGTCTCTCTGTTCATCATTCCAATTGGGATGCCGTAAGCTCTAACCCAAATAGGTATTGTCTTGAATTCATATTCATCTATGGTTCTACTTGGCACAAAATCTTCCATCACCAATAGGTCATTGTTAAATCTCCATGGTCCAACATCTAGTGCCTTTTCCTTATCAGCCTTTTGTTGGAAAATAAATAGAAATCTATTCCTACCCAAGTCTTTGCAATCCACCCCAAACAATGGGCTCCAGACTCCCCCTAGAGTTCTTCCCACATGTTCAGCCCTAGCAGGCCTCTCTGCAAATAGCTTGCCTACTGCCTGAATCTTACTCACCTGAGAGGAGCATGCTTGCTTCCTACCAATCCTGATCCCTTTCTTTTCCGCTTCACAGAGCTGCAGGTTCTTGAACTTAATCTCCACTCCTTCCATGTATGCTGCCATCAGGTCCCCCCAATGCAGGTGATGGCTGCTGGGTTCGCCTCTCCACCGTAGCCCCCTTCATGCCTCCAAATATGCCGCCGCCACACCCCACAACCTCCTCCCAAAATCCTCTCTATTCCTCACCAGGTTGTTCCGAATCAGATCTGGATAGGGCTCTCACACTTGCTGGAGGAGGATAGGAATCTCTGTATGGGGCGGTGGGAAGGAGAATCAGGGCGATTTTGTGTATGTTTTTTTGGAAAACAGATGGGGATTGAACGTGAAGGGTTGCCGACGAGAACGCGCACTGAGTCGCCACACAGTCGCTAGAAGCAGCGAGAAACACTGTTACGCGCGGACGGACCTCAAAATATGTTTTCTCTCTTTCTTTTCCATGCAATCCAAAACAAGGAACGGGTTCCACCGTCAAAGGTGCTATTTTTTTTCCGGAGAAACTTGCAATATATTCATCTTCAATCCTGGCAGTATAAGGAACACTAAACACCAAAAAAACAAGTACATCCTTGTGCACGTAGCTCCCGCTTGTGCAGGGTTCAGGGAAGGGTCCGACTGCTTTGGGTCTATAGGAACACCAAACAACAGAGGTAATAAAAATTACAACCAGATCCGTCGATCACCTAGTGATGACTACAAACACTAGTGCGAGCCAAAGGTGTGTCGTCGTTATCGTCTCTCCCTCGTCGGAGCGGGCAAACCTTGTAATAGACAGTCGGGAAGTTGTCGTGCTAAGGACTCATAGGACCCGCACTAGAGGAGCAACCATCGTCGATGAAGAAAGTCGTAGATCAGAAGTAAACACTCAAACAAAGACGAAAGAAGACCGGATCCAAATAGATCCACTAAAGACCAGCACCGACTGAATCTCATGAGATCCGACGGAGACACACCTCCACACATACCCTTTGTCGAAGCTAGATGCACTAGGATGGGGATAGAATGTGGGATACGTTATTCCAACTGAGGGACATCGCCGCCACCACACAACCCCAACCATGACGCTAAATTTAACAAGAACGAGAACGGGGTCCCTCCCCCTGTGGGAGGGGGGAGGAGGTTCTCCGCACTTCCATGGCCCAAAGGCCATCGAAGTTGAGGCGGACCGGCGGTGGCATCGACGGGAGGAGGAGGAAAGCATGGAATCTTTCTTGTGGAGGTGGAAAGAGAAGGCTACCCGCTGTCAAAGGTACTATAATATAACAAAAACATAAAACATCATCCTGGTGCAAATGAAAGAGGTTGCAGCAACATCCTAGGGCAGGTGGTTAGGGCTAGGTCGGCTGTCAACTGCGTGAGGAAGAAGATGAACATGGCTGAGTGGGTTTGAGGAGGATGAGTCAGCCGTTGAATATCAATTTGATGGTCAGAAAAGAAAGTGATTATTGAAACATTTTTTCAGTTACGTGACGAATAGGTGCTCCCCAGAAAGAAGTATTGCTCATTGATAACCAAAAGGTAAACGATTCATTTTGGTTGACCAGAAGAACTTCCGGTGGTCGCCTCGCTCGAGCACTCATGCCCCTGGCCCACATCGCACACAACCTGGCGGTGTCCTCGATTAGGGGGTACTCATCTTGTCGGCCTACCACTCATCATGGGCCGGGTCGAGGACCCACCTATAACCGAAGAATGGGTCATGTTTGATATTTTCCATGACCTTCGGCGTACACAAGATGGAATTTTTCAAAGACTTGGCGCACACTTGAAGACATATTCAAATATTCAGCATATTTATCTCTAGATGCAACCGACCGTGTGTAACATTAGGTACCCCCCGGCCCCTATATAAGCCAAGGGGTTTAGTCCATATAGGCAAGACTTTTCAGACTCATTCATACGATCTCGAGGTAGATCAATTGTACTTTGTGCTCCATCCACATCAATGCAATCAAAGCAAAATGTAGAGTTTTACCTCCTCGAGAGGGCCTGAACCTGGGTAAACACCGTGTCCCTATTCTTCCTGTTACCATCTAGTAGAGACCACAACCTCGGGACCCCTTACCCAAGATCTATCGGATTTAGCTCCGACACAACCTTATCCTTTTTCTTCTTCCACCGAACGAATCTCGGTCTTCTATATACATACAAACTCGGGAGCCTGGGCAACAAACTGAAGGAAATATGCCCTAGAGGCAATAATAAAGTTGTTATTTTGTAATGTTTATTATTCATGCTAGAATTGTATTAACCGAAAACTTGATACATGTGTGAATACATAGACAAAACATTGTGTCCCTAGTATGCCTCTACTTGACTAGCTCGTTGATCAAAGATGGTTAAGTTTCCTAGCCATGGACACGTGTTGTCATTTGATGAACGGGATCACATCATTAGGAGAATGATGTGATGGACAAGACCCATCCGTTAGCTTAGCATAATGATCATTCAGTTTTATTGCTACTGCTTTCTTCATGACTTGTACATATGTTCCTCTGACTATGAGATTATGCAACTCCCGAATATCGGAGGAACACCTTGTGTGCTATCAAACGTCACAACGTAACTGGGTGATTATAAAGATGCTCTACATGAAGGAAATATGCCCTAGAGGCAAGAGTAAAGTTGTTATTTATATATTTCCTTATATCATGATAAATGTTTATTATTCATGCTAGAATTGTATTAACCGGAAACTTAGTACATGTGTGAATACATAGACAAATAGAGTGTCACTAGTATGCCTCTACTTGACTATCTCGTTAATCAAAGATGGTTAAGTTTCCTAGCCATAGACATGAGTTGTCATTTGATAAATGGGATCACATCATTAGGGAATGATGTGATTGACTTGACCCATTCCGTTAGCTTAGCACTTGATCGTTTAGTTTGTTGCTATTGCTTTCTTCATGACTTATACATGTTCCTATGACTATGAGATTATGCAACTCCCGAATACCGGAGGAACACTTTGTGTGCTACCAAACGTCACAACATAACTGGGTGATTATAAAGGTGCTCTAGAGGTGTCTCCCATGGTACTTGTTGAGTTGGCATAGATCAAGATTAGGATTTGTCACTCCGATTGTCTGAGAGGTATCTCTGGGCCCTCTCAGTAATGCACATCACTATAAGCCTTGCAAGCAATGTGACTAATGAGTTAGTTGCGGGATGATGCACTACGGAACAAGTAAAGAGACTTGCCGGTAACGATATTAAACTAGGCATTGGGATACCGACGATCGAATCTTGGGCAAGTAACATACCGATGATAAAGGGAACAACATATGTTGTTATGCGGCTTGACCGATAAAGATCTTCGTAGAATATGTAGGAGCCAATATGAGCATCCAGGTTCCGCTATTGGTTATTGACCAGAGACGTGTCTCGGTCATGTCTACATAGTTCTCGAACCCGTAGGGTCCGCACGCTTAACGTTCGGTGACGATCGGTAATATGAGTTTATGTGTTTTGATGTACCGAAGGTAGTTCGGAGTCCTGGATATGATCACAGACATGACGAGGAGTCTCGAAATGATCGAGACATAAATATCAATATATTGGATGACTATATTTGGACATCGGAATAGTTCCATGTGAAATTGGGATTTTACTGGAGTACCGGCAGGTTACAGGAACCCCCTCGGTAAGTGTATGGGCCTTATTGGGCCATAGTGGAGAGAGAGAGAGGAGACCATGGTAGGCCGCGTGCCCCCTCTTCCTCTTGTCCTAATTGGACTAGGAGGGGGGCGGCGCCCCCCTTTCCTTCCTCCCTCTCTCCCCCTTCCTTCTCTCCTAGTCCAACTAGGGAAGGGGGGGATCCTACTCCCGGTGGGAGTAGGACTCCTACAGGGTACGCCATAGGAGGGCCGGCCCTCCCCCCTCCTCCACTCCTTTATATACGGGGGAGGAGGGCACCCCATAGACACACAAGTTGATCATTGATCTCTCTTAGCCATGTGCGGTGCCCCCTTCCACCATAATCCACCTCGGTCATATCGTTGTGGTGCTTAGGCAAAGCCCTGCATTGGTAGCATCATCATCGCTGTCATCACGCCATCATGCTGACAAAACTCTCCCTTGACACTTTGCTGGATTGGAGTTCATGGGACGTCACCGAGCTGAACGTGTGCAGATCGCGGAGGTGCCATACGTTCGGTACTACGATCGGTCGATTGTGAAGACATATGACTACATCAACCGCGTTGTCATAACGCTTCCACTTTCGGTCTACGAGGGTACGTGGACAACACTCTCCCCTCTCGTTGTTATGCATCACCATAATCTTGCGTGTGCGCCGCGTTCCCCAACAGTGGCATCCGAGCCAGGTTTATGCATAGATGTTATATGCACGAGTAGAACACAAGTGAGTTGTGGGCGCTACTAGTCATACTTCTTACCAGCATGTCATACTTTGATTCGGCGGTATTGTTGGATGAAGCGGCCCAAACCGACATTACACGTACGCTTACGCGAGACTGATTCTACCGACGTGCTTCGCACACAGGTGGCTGGCAGGTGTCAGTTTCTCCAACTTTAGTTGAATTGAGTGTGGCTACGCCCGGTCCTTGTGAAGGTTAAAAAACACATACTTGATGAAATATCATTGTGGTTTTGATGCGTAGGTAAGAAGGGTTCTTGCTTAGCCCGTAGCAGCCACGTAAAACTTGCAACAACAAAGTAGAAGACGTCTAACTTGTTTTTGCAGGGCATGTTGTGATGTGATATGGTCAACACATGATGCTATATTTTATTGTATGAGATGATCATGTTTTGTAACGGAGTTATCGGCAACTGGCAGGAGCCATATGGTTGTCGCTTTATTGTATGCAATGCAATCGCCCTGTAATTGTTTTTACTTTATCAGTAAGCGGTAGCGATAGTCGTAGAAACAATAGTTGGCGAGACGACAACGATGCTACGATGGACATCATGGTGTCGCACCGGTGACGGTGGTGATCATGATGCTGCTTTGGAGATGGAGATCAAAGGCACAAGATGATATTGGCCATATCATATCACTTATATTGATTGCATGTGATGTTTATCCTTTATGCATCTTATTT